ACAGAATGGTATGAAAGGAAACTCCGCTTACATTTTAGGAAAGTATTCCAAAGTTGTTAGACAATTCTGGGGTGGTTGGCAGGGTGTTTGGGAGGAGGCATCTAATCTATCATAATGGGATGTAGGAATAACCTTGAGGGACAGGAGGAAGAGCCACAACCAAGACAACAGTCAGATAAAAGAAATCTGAGCCCAGGGCAGAAATGTAATTTGAGAAGGCACCTCAGGCTTGACCCTCCCTAGTTCTCATGAAGTTAAAGGGAGGAAGAGGAGAAGCGCATTCAGACTTGCAAGATTCTGTTACTATAACCTTATAATAAAAGTAGTATTAGCTTTGGTGTCTTTGGTTTCCTAGTCTGGTCTACCTTGGGAGGCTGACATCAATCTTGCAAATCTGAATGCGCTTCCCCCTCCCCTCCCTTTATCCTCATGAGAACTAGAGAGGGTCATGTCTGAGAGGCTTTCTCAAATTACATTTCTGCCCTGGGCTCAGATTTCTTTTATCTGACTGTTGTCTTGGTTGTGGCTCTTCCTCCTGTCCCTCAAGGTTATTCCTACATCCCATTATGATAGATTAGATGCCTCCTCCCAAACACCCTGCCAACCACCCCAGAATTGTCTAACAACTTTGGAATACTTTCCTAAAATGTAAGCGGAGTTTCCTTTCATACCATTCTGTCCACCTGAAATTTCTTACTCAATTGTAGCCACTTCTGCTCTGACAGAGGTCTCCCATCAATGCTGGTTTTATTGCTAGAAAACACATCCCTTCAGCCATCCCTAAAGCTAGGCCCTAGTGTGGCCCATCTTCTTTCCTCACCTCACTGAAAGCTCCTCGGCCGATCACCTTTAAGATTTCAAAGTCATCTCGCTGTAGCCGGAGTTGTTTTAGTCTGGAGGTTACTGGCTCCGCTGGAGAGAAGGAGAAGGAAATTATGGGGGTTCCTCATATAATGCCCACGTTGGGTGTAATTAAGTGAAATATCCAGAAACCCTGAGGTTGGGAGGTTGAAGAAGGAAATGGGAGACACCATCTCATAATGTCCCTCCTTAAAAGGAAGGTACAAAATCTCAAGCAGCTCTTGAGAGGGACGGGCATGGGACGGCAATGCCCAGTATTTCAAGGCTTAGCACCTCTGCAGGATGCCAGGCAGGGAGGGCTGTAGAATGACTTCCACACATTTATGGCTTGAACTCTACATACCCTGTGCGAGAGGGCGATTTGGGATCAGCAAGAGGACAGGAAAGAAATGCCTTGTTTTTCTCGTTTGCCACTGCGGGCCCCTTAAACCCCTGCCCCTCCTGGCACTGGCCAAGCTCTCTTCCACAAATACAAATGGCCACGGAGAGGATCCCATATTCCTCCACGGTCGTTGTGGATCTGGCAGCGTGACTCAGCTCTTTGTGAAGGACTACCTACTGCACACAAGGACTGAGTGCACGCCTTAAAAATAAATGTGTGGGTGCCAACTTGGGGGGGGGAGAAACCATGTGACCTGCAACCAGTAAGAGGTCAGGTGGTCATCAAATTTAACATCAACGGTTGACTCAGCTGCTGGCCTGCATAGATATCCAGATTTGGCGGGGTGCGGGGAGGATAAAATATCCCAAGGATCTAAAATGATTTCCTCACATGGTGACAAAAAGATAAAGCAAATAGATCTAGGAGGAGCAGAGAGATGCTGTCGTCAGCTTGGCAGGAGAACAACTAAACCCGCTGGAAAAGAAGCAGGCTTATAAATAGCTTAAGGATGTGACCAAGGCAGCTGGAATGGGACTCCTTTGGGGAGGGGAACTGGGGTTGCCAAAGGCGACACAAACAGCAGGAGAGATGGGAAGAAAAGTCCTGACTGGCGCCATTCAGGGGAAAGGGCTACGAGACCCATCGTCCACAGCCGGCACCTTGGGGAAGTGTCGTCAAATGCTGGGGGAGGGGGGCTTGCTGCAGTCCAGCAAAGCCGCTGCCCCTGGCGCACCCTTGGCTGACACTGAGGCTGGAGTGGCTCTGAAGCCATTCTGGCAACCCATAAGAGCCGTCCTCTCCTCTCGATCGAATTTGGCCCCCCGTCTGCCCTGATGCCGCCTGGCAGCACGTTCTGTGAGCTCATCACAGGCTCTTCAGCCCATCATTTGGACTGCATCTTCCCCAGATTCATGGAGGGAGGGAGGGAGGGAAGGAAGGCAGGCAGGCAGGCTCCTTGCTCCACCTTCTCCATAGAAGATGGAACGAGCCCTCGTGCAAGCTGAGAATAGTGGAAATGTAATCCTATACCTCCAGAAGGCACCACGTTAGAGAAAGCTACTCCGTCATGCCCCCCATTAATCATCTAAATTGGGTTTTTGTTTTGCTTATTCATTAACAGGCCAGAGCACCAAATTCCAAATGGTGCATGATAATGCAGAAGCATAAAAAGAGTTCATAAAACAATAAGTCAGCATAAAGCCCCCGAAAGCACCTAAAAGAAGAAACAGAGCGGTCCTATCACCACTGCAAAAGAACTGAGAGATGACCTCAGGGACAGTATGAAGCAGCCATTGAAGAGGGACTCAGAGAAGAGATTACACAGTTCAGGGACTGGAGGAAGTGTGAGAGAGAAACTCAAAGCAACCTTGCCTTGATTTTGTTGGGCATAAGAGGGGACAGACAGACACTCAGATGGGCGTTCAAATTTCCGTTATCATACCCTGCAAGAATTAAGAGCATTCCAGTGTCTGTTTCTTGACCTTGTCTACCTGGAAGGGCTGACACCATTATACTTCAAAAACTTGCCTAAATAAAATTGTTTCCACTGCCCTGTGAAACGTTGATAATGAGGAGTGATAGGTATAAAAAAAGGCGGAGCTTAAATCACACCATCACAGTTGCCATCTTGACTTTTTTGACCAGTCTGCAGACACCCCGGGGGAGGCTATTTTACTCTGTGTTGGAGAGGTTATATCTGTTTTATAACAAATGTCAAAGTTAATCAATGTTAAATACTAGTGTTCCTGTGTATTTGGTGATACGGGCAGTATAAAAAAACCTGTTCATAATAAATAAATAAATTCCTCCAGGCAGAGAACCAACTCCTTATAATACCTCAGGCCAACTCATTGGCGGTCCATTAAAAATGAAGGGACAAATTTGGACAGAAGTCTGCAACGGCCGAGCAACAAACCTCCTTTAACTACTTTCCACAGAGCTTCACAACAGCATCTGAGAAATGTATGCAGACATGCTAAGAAGGCGCTTCATGCTTCACTCTCCAAGCAGAAGAGGAAAAAACGGCGGCTGTAGCTGGTTCCTGGCACCCGTGAAGAAAGGATAAAAATAGGACCAAATTCCAAGGGCGGAAGGGAACCAAACAGCTTCTTTCTTTCTTTCTTTTTTTTCCATTCTCATATTTCTTAAAGTTCCGACATATCCAGAGATTGAGCAACTGGATGTAATTTTAAGGCACAATTTATGCAATGAGCCCTGTAATAAATAATGGGTACTAATTATTCTAATGGAACATAAATACTGGAGTTCTAGGCACCATCTGAGTGTAAATCCTGTTAGACAGTGAGATTCATTTTGAGTCAACTTAAGTTAGTGGCAAAGACCAAGCTCTTTAAAACAGTTGCTTGCAAAATGTTAAAAATGCAAAGTAACTAGCTTTCCTGGTGCTTCCCAGATGTGTCGGCTTTGCAACTCCCATAATTCTCCAACCAGTGTTGGCTAGGAATTCTGGAAACTGCATTCCCAACATATTTAGCATCAGGTTGGTCAAGGCTGGACAAAGTGTCTTCTGTTTTACTGTCCCTTTGCTGTATGTATGTATGTATGTATGTATGTATGTATGTATGTATGTTTAAATACATATGCTTAAAATATAACAATGCCATTTTATTTAACACAAGGCAAGTAATTTATTGTGTGGTAATTCTACATTGGAAGGATTGATACTGAAGCTGAAGCTCAGATACTTCGGGCACCTCATGCGAAGAGAGGACTCTCTGGAAAAGACCCTGATGCTGGGAAAGATGGAAGGCAGAAGGAGAAGAGGACGGCAGAGGACGAGATGTTAGAGAGCATCCCCGAAGCAATGAGCATGAAACTGAGCAGACCCTGGGAGGCAGCGAAGGACAGGAAGGCCTGGCGCGATTTGGCTCATGGACCCACGAACAGTCAGACATGACTTAACAACTCAGCAACAACAATTCTACATTAACTGCACTAAACCATGTTTTAACAATGAATAACCCATAGTTCTTACAACATGTTGACTCAAAAACAAGCAAACCACTTCATGGCTTAATTAGGATATATTATTCTACCCTCGGTTGAGAAATTCTAAGCCAGGCATTGCCCCATTGAAGCTGGTATGCAAAGTTGCTCACATCTTGTAAAACAATAGTGGTGTTCACCAGCAGACTTAATCCGATCACTGCTTTAACCCAGTTTCTGGGTACAGACATTACATTGCACCATAAACTAATGAAATGGTAT